TAAATGAACTTCATTTTTCAAAATCTTTGATCATGTATAACTAACTGCCCCCCCAAAATTAACTAGCTAGATATAAATCTAACAAAACATGTAAAGGACCTACATGTGCTGAAAATTATAAATAGTTAATGAAAGAAAACAAAGATCTAAAAGTTTTTCCTTTAAATAATATATGAAATGTGAACTTGACATTTATCAAAATAGCCTAGTTGAAAGTTTCCTGAAAAAGAAAGAAAAAAGAAATGTTCTTAGGGACAAGGAAAAAGATCAGTGTTGGGCCTTGTAGTTTTTAATGAAAGACCTATTTTTACATCTTTGGTTAAATTTATTCCTAAATAATTATTTTTGATGCAGTTGTAAGTGGGATTGTTTTCTCCTTCTGATAGTTCATTATTAGTGTATAGAAACACAACAGATTTTTGCATATTGATTTTGTATCATGCAGCTTTATTAGTTGATTAGATCTAATGGTTTTGATGAAGTTTATGTTTTTAAAATATAGGTATGTCAATGTCATTTGTAAATAGTGAGAGTTTTACTTGTTCCTTTCCAATATGGATGTCTTTTATTCTTTTTCTTGTCTAATTACTCTGGCTTGGACACCCCATAGTATGTTGAATAGAAGTGAAGAGAGAGTGGGCATCCTTGACCTGTTCCTGATGTTAGGGGAAAAGCTTTCAACTTTTTACCGTTGAGCATGATGTTAGCTGTGGGCTTGTCATATATGGCCTTTATTATATTGAACAATGTTTCTTCTACATCCACTTGTTGAGAGTTTATATCATAAATAGATGAATTTTCTGAAATGCTTTTATTGCATCTATTGAGATGCAGAAGTTAAAAGTGTTGGAGAGGGTGTGGAGAAAAGGGAACCCTCATGCACAGTTGACGGGAATGTGAATTGGTGCAGCCACTATAGGAAAATGTGGAATTTCATTTAAAAAATTAAAAATACAACTATGATCTTGGAATTCCACTTTTAGGTTTTTTTTTTTTTTTTTTAAAGATTTTATCTATCTATACACACAAGAGCTGGGGTATAGGCCAGAGATGTGGGGTGGGGAGAGGATTCACCAGAGACAGAGTGGGAAACAGATCAGGCAGACTGACTGAAGTACACTGCTGAGGGGAGCAGCGGGCGAGTCCGGAGAGGTCTGCCGTGCATATGGGTTGCTCCCCGGCCGGCCGGGGATTGAGCTCACGCTGCAGTGGCCATGGATTGCCCCACAGCGCGGTATTCAACCCCTTGTGCCACCAGGGAGGCCCCACTTTGAGGTATTTATCAAAAAAAAAAAATAACACTAACTTGAAAAGGTATATGCACCCCTATATTCATTGCCGCATCATTTACTGTAGGCAAGACATGGAAATAACCTAAATATTCTGATTGATGACTGGGTTCAAGAAATTACCACATACACAGACATATCATTCACATATAAAAAGAGAACTAAATCTTGCCATTTGCTGTGACATGGATACACCTCGAGGGCATTATGTTAAGTGAAATAAGTGAGCTAGAGAAAGACAAACACTGTACCATTGCTTTTATATATGGAATCTTAAAAAAAAAAAAAAAACCCACAAGAAAACACTAAGCTGACAAATAAGCTCACAGATACAGAGAACAGATTCGTGGTTGCCAGAGGGTGGGGATTGGAATGTGGAAGAAATGGGTGAAATGGCTCAAATAAAAAAATATACCTTATTGCATATTTTATTATATTGAGCAGTATATTGACCCAATTTTTAAATTGAGTCATATTTAATTTTGCCAGTCACAGAACATTCATATTTTTGTTTATTTTTAAAGATTTATTTTTATTTATTTATGCATACAAGAACTGGAGTGTAGGCCTAGCGGCAGAGGATAAGTAGATTCACTGGAGACAGAGAGGGCAACAGAACAGGTGGATCTACTAAAATACACTGCTGAGGGGAGCAACAGGCAAGACAAGAGAGGTCTGCTGTGCCATGTGGGTTAGCTTCCTAGCCAAGGAATTGAACTTTTGCCACAGTGGCTGAAGATCGCTTGATAGTGCTGAGACTTTAACCCCTGCACCACCAGGGAGGGCCTATTCATATTTTTAAAAAGAAAGTATAAATGTGCTTCCAGCTTTTTTAGTATTATTTTTATTAAGCAATTTTTTAGGTACATAAAAATATATAGATTGAAATTATAAAACAAACACCTTAAAATGCTATTATGATGTGCCGAATTTCTAAATGTTAACATACTTGTACTTACCACTATTTTTTCTTTATGATGTATCCTTTGTGAGTCTTTTTAAAAATAAAAATTCTTCCATGCCTCAGTGTTTTATTTTCTAATACTTCTTTTCTAAAGATTTGCTTTTCATAAATAGATCTTTAATTCATCCAGGATTCATTTCTGTGTATGATATGCAGTAGGGATCTTCCCTCCTCTTCACTATGAGTATCTGGTTGTCTAACAACAATTTATTGAATATGCCATCTTTTTCTCACTGATTCATTATTGCCACTGTTTTATATATGTATGGGTCCCTACATATTTTGGTCTGTAGTTACGCTCCCATTTCAATCGCAAAGGTCCATTGGTTATTTCAGTCCCAAAACTTTGTTTTCTAATTTTACTTCAACAACAGATTTATTGACATAAAATAAATGGCATATATTTGAAATGTACTTATAAGCCAGATATTGAAGAGATTTGTAAAAATTAAAACTGATATTGTTTTCACTATTTTGGGGGATATAGTTTTTTTTAAATAAAATGTTATTTATATAATAGATTTGTTTTAAATGAATAGGTACTTTTAAAAAATGTTTTAATTTTGAATTTGGTAAATATTGTTAGGTATGACTCACATAAACAAAGTGTCTCTGGGGCCTTCGATAACTTTTAATAGTATCAAGGAATCTTGAAACCAAAGAATTTAAAAGCAGTTGGTATAAGGGACCATTCAGATACATGAGGCTCTTGCAATACCAGAGCAGTTGTCCAAAAGAAGTTTGGGATTTTGTGCAGTTCAGCTTTACTTTGCATTGCCCTGATATCAAGTTTTCTATCTGTGAAGGCATCTTTAAAACTCAGTCCTTTAGGTCACAGAAATAAGTAAAAAAAAAAAGTAGGGGGACAGACATGACTTCTGTTATTAGTTTACCTCCTTGAGCTTCTGATCTGTTTTCAACAGTTAGTGATGATGTGTGTGTGCACGTGTGCATTCATACATGTGTGTGCATGCTCCTCTGTGAACTTAAAAAGAAGTTGTACTTCATCCAGCATTTTTGGAGTGTTTTGTAGATGTGTAGTGGGTTAAGTGGTATTCTTTATGAATATATACCTACCTGGAACCTCAGAACATGATGGTGTTTGGAAATGGGGTCTTTGCAGATATAATTAGTTAAGGATTGAGATTAGATACTTCATTGAATCTAATTGGAGCTGGCCCTAAATCCAGTGACTCGCATCCTTATAAGAAAAGACAGCACGCAGAGACATAGAGAAGCAGATCATTTAAAGATGGGTGGGGAGATTGGAGTGATGCATTTTAAGTCAAGAATTACCAAGAGCCACCAAGAGCTAGCAAGAACCTGGAAGGATTCTTCCTTAGAGCCCTCAAAGAGAGCATTGCACTGTTAGCACCTTGATTTTGGTGTTATGTTGAGTTAAACATTTATCTTCTGTACACAGTTCTCTCTGTACCTTTGCAGCAGCTCTTACCATAATATATTTGTGATCTACTTAAGGAACTCTTCTCATTCACTTGTAACTTCTTCAAAAGGCCCAGATTATCTTAGTTATCTTTGTGTCCCCAGTGCTCAGCCCGTGGCAATCTTTCTGAAACATAATTTCCCCAGTTTAAAAACCTTCACTAACTTTCCTTTACAAGCAGAATAAAACCCAAGCGCTATATTTTTTGCTATCAAGGCCTTTGAGATCTCTCTTTTCAGATTGTTTCTTGCCTCCTTCTTCTACTTCATGTTCAGCAGCAATAAATGTATTTGCAAACATACCATGCTTTTCCGGTTTTAAAATATTTTATTTTCTCTCTCTAAAATGTGTGACATTTCCCCTGCCCTTCCTTTTATATCTGTTGAAGTTCTAGTCATCATTCAAAATCAATTCAGAAAATACTTCTTTGAGAAACTTTTTCTGACTCCTTTGACATGTTCAGGGGAAAGGTATCTCTTTCTATGTATCATCTTTGTTCCTTTTATGTTAGTATCCTTTGGTGTATGATAAAAGGTAATAATTTTTGTAGTCATAGCTAGCCTTTGAGTTCCAGTTCTTATACTTGCTAGTTCGTAATATGATGTAAATTATTTAGCTCCTCTGAGTGCCATTTTTCTTATCTTTAAAACCGGGATAATATTTGCTACTTTTCAGGGTTTTGTGTGTGTGTGTGTGTGTGTGTGTGTGTGTATCTTTTTAATTTATTTAAGCATACAAGAACTGGGGTGTAGGCCAGCAGTGCAGGGGGGTGAGAGGATTTATCATAGACACTGTGGGGTGCAGAACAGGCAGATCATTTCAGCACTGCTGAGGGGAGCAGCGGGTGAGACAGGAGAGGTCTGCTACGCCATGTGGGTCAGCTCCCTGGCTGGGGATTGAACTCATGCCAAACTAATGCTGAACTCATGTTGCAGTGGCTGGAGATTGCTTGATAGTGCTGAGACTTTAACCCCTGTGCCACCAGGGAGGCCCTACTTTACAGTGTTGTTTTAAACAAGATAGAATTATTCAGGACAGAAAGGTGAACAAAAATGGTTCTTTGCTGAAGAAGTACAGTAATAAGATGAAAAGTGGTAAGTTTAACTATTCAGTGCTGTGGGAACAGAGGAGAAGGAGGTAGCAGTTGTCTGTTGGGGGTTTGCAAGATATTTATTAAAACAGTAGCATAGGAATAGGGCCTTAAAAGAGTTGTTCAGTGGTCAGATTTTTTCATTTGGACAGTGTATGCATCTACATTACATTCCTTTCTTCTCAATCACTTATAAAAAATTTACGTTCTTAGGTGGATGCTCTTCGATTGCGTTTGGAAGAGAAAGAAACCATGCTGAATAAGAAGACAAAACAAATTCAGGATATGGCCGAGGAGAAGGGAACTCAAGCTGGAGAGATCCATGACCTCAAGGACATGCTGGATGTGAAGGAGCGAAAGGTTAACGTTCTTCAGAAGAAGGTAAGGTGCAGGCGTTCTGGGTAACGATTGGGGCGTAATCCTGATTCTCACCACTAAGTCAAACCTGTCAACGTTCCTTTTGTGTTTCCTCTGAGTATATTTTAGCAGTTCATGATTGTAACTTTTGTTGGAATAGATGGTGAAAACTGCTGCAGCTCTTACCATAATATATATATATGATCTACTTATGGAACTCTACTCATTCTCACTTGCAACTTCTTCAGAAGGCCCAGATTATTTTAGTTATCTTTGCGTCCCCAGTGCTCAGCCCGCGGCAGTCTTTCTGAAACATAATTTCCCCAGCTTAAAAACCTTCGCTGACTTCCATTTACAAGCAGGATAAAACCCAAACTTTTTTTTTTTTTTTTTTTTTTTTTTTTTTTGCAATCCAGGCCATTGAGATCTCTCTTTTCAGGTTGTTTCTTGCCTTTCTTGTACTTCATGCTCAGCAGCACCAAATATATTTGCGAACATATCCCTGGCCGGGATAAGGAGGAATATGTGAACAGCTTAAACAATGTCAGTATTGTTCTTATTAAGATGAGTAAATAAATGGGCTTGTATATTAATTTATATTTATATAAATTAATATGATATATATAATTGTATATTTCACAACATGCAGATATATACATTAAATATTATGTAATATAATTTAAAACATCTGAAAGCAGATTACTTTAAATTTGCATGGTTGGCACATGCAAGGTTTATTCTGTACCCATTCCTTTTGTTTGATATTAATAATAAAAATACTTAAAAAAACCCTCTACAGTATACACACTGGTCTTCATTGAAAAAGAATTTTTTCTGTATTTTGTTTGAAATTTAGTCTTAATTTTGTCTTCCTAAAATTAGAACCATCTTTTTTTAGAAGTTTGTTTATACATTTTGAAACAATGTCTGATACAGATGTGTCATTTGATAAAGTTGTCTGATTCAATTTTTCCTGTAAGGTCTCTGGCAAATTATTCAGCTTTGGTAAATTATGTCTAATTATAATGACAGTTTTGACCCTCTTGCCTTGAATTTGGCTATGGATAGTTTTTGCTAGTAGAGATTAACTTGGGTCCATATTGAAGGAATCTAATACTTTTTGTACAGGGCAGCTTTTTGGATATTAGGAGCTTGTTATTTGACAACTCCCACATCTTATTTTCCTGTGTGAAAGATTTGTTACTCCCATTGTTGTTATGTGCCCCGGATAATTTTACTGATGGCAGTTATTTGTCTCAGCTAATTTTCCCTTTGTTCTTGACTTGTCCAGTGGAATTTTTGGATCTAATTCAAAGAGATGATTAGAATATCACTAATATACTGTTCTTGGTTCTAGCTGAAATGCAAGATTGGGCAATTTATTGAAGCTTACTAACGTTCATCTGGGGGCAGGATATAATGGGTACCTAAGGGTTTTTGTTAAATGATGTAGTGTGTATGAAAGTACTAAATTTTACATTGTTAAGTTCAGCCAGTTATTTTAATCTTTGAGGATCTTTTTGAATCTTAATTTGATTAATTAGTTCGTTTCCTTCAATTTTATGTCTTCAATCCAGTTATGATCATATTCTTTGTACTTTCATAATAAGTGATAAGATATTGAGTAGTCCCAGAAAAGTCTTTTGTAGTATATTGTACCTCTATCAAGTCAATATATTCATCAAAACAATTATAAAAGCTTTTTTGTTGCTTCTAGAGTTTTTTTAGTTGTTGTCACTAAGCCTATTTTGTTTACAAATCTAGCCATTCTATTACTTACATGCATGCTCCTGCTCCTCTCTGTTTTTCATCCAGGTCCTTAGAAATCTGTCTTAGAAATCTGAGTTGATTAGAAAGATCACTCTGTATCATTCCATACTTAAAATGATAACCTGGATAGTGAATGATATGATATATTCAAACTATTTTTGGCTTTTTCATGACTACCCCACCCACAAATTTTCCTGGCTTTCTGAGCAATGTATGTATTTGTATACAGTGGTATATTTGCTTTTTCTCTTCCCTCCCTGCCCTCTTACTAAATACATTTATAGTTGCACAGTCAAAATTCTTGTGGGTTTCCCCGTCTACCCAGACTGCTCAAACTGTCTTCATTCAACATAGCAGATAATTTTACTGCTGTATGCTAGGTGCTGTCCTGAATACAAGAACAAAAGATGTGGTTTCTTTGCAGAGCTTCAGAGTTGTGAGAGTTAAAGAAGTTATGATACAACTGGTATATAGTGGGCACAAAGCTGTGAGTTTTATATTTGACCTTGTGTGAAAGGAGTCTAAGAAGTTTTAGGAGCTGAGGTCATAAAACTGAAAGTAAGTTTGCTGGGTCGATGGGGAAGAGGTGAGACATCCCAGCCAAGAGAGAAGTGTGGATGAAAATGTGGAGTTAATGCATCTTTCTGTACTTACTACGTCCTAACATTTTTTATTTAGTTTTCAAGCTTTTTCTAATATTATTCTTAAAAATTTTTGATATAACTCTGTGAATGCCTTTTCTTTATTAGTGTGAGCTCATATTACATGATCTATGGGAAAATTATTTCCAATTCTTATAAGTTTTCAGTGCATGTACTCATCTCTGTTGTACCGTTAGTTTATTTAGGAAACTACTAAATAGAATTCAGCTTTTCTTTCCTTGGACCTTGATGATTTTCCTTCAGAAACTTATTTGCAGTGAGATATTGAAAGAGGTAGAACTTTAGATATTTTTGGAGAGATGCCTTAATTCTTCTAACACTTAACCTACTTTGTTTCTCGATTCAGACACTGATTCCACCAGGAATGGGGTTTGGTAACTCTGCTTTCATCCCTTTCTTGTCTTGAACATCTACATTCTTTGTTATTTTTTTCACAGGTATTTATAATTACATATATAAATGATATTTAAATATTTAAGGAGGGGTACCGGCAAACAGTTTATTACTTATGGCATATTAGGTATTCATTTAAAAATTTGTTTTCTGAGCACACTAATGGCTGCATTGTTGGTCAAATACCCAGGACAGTTTTTGGCTCTGTCTGGGCTACCACTGCCTCTATGTCGTCTTACAGCTTTCTAGGCGGTATATGTATTTGCATGCACCAAAATAGCCCTGTGCTCAGAGAATGAAATGGGACAATAGCAGATGGCCAAGCATGCTGTACAATGGGATTAGCATTGGGCTCCTCCTTCCCAGGGTTCTCCCCTATGGTTTAAAGTAGTTTTGTGTTACAGTAAATTTCTTATCTTTATAATAAATCACTGACCTGGAAAATGTAATTGAGCATTTGAATCTGAGCTGCATTCAAAATCGGTGTTAAAATTGTACAGCTTCCTGCTTGATTGATTATAAATGATAATGTAGCTTGGAGTTTAATTTGCTGACACAGATGTTATCATCATTCCCTTCTATGCTTCTATAACTTCTGTTTATTTTGCCTTGCTTGCTTTTTCAGTTTTGTGGGTTTTGGTATTAAGAATGTAGTTTAGTAATAGTGACAGAAAGATAGTTGATATACAAAATTTAGAAGGCTGGGATTTTTGTCTCTTTGTTTTATTTATTTATTTTTTGTTCTAGATTGGTTCTTCAAGTCTTCTGTTTTATTTTGTGTAGGAAATCAGGAAGAATAGGTTCTTTATCCTGTTTGTTTTCTGTGGAGTCAGCTGTGGTTAATGCTGTGTTAGTTTCTCCGCTTTTTCCATATCATAAAATAGAAAGGAGAATTATCATTAAAATATTTGCTAATTTCTTCAGAGAAAATTAGTTATTTGAAAATTGTGCTATTTTATTTTTAGTAATAATTAATTGCAATACTGTCTAAATGTTTTTATTTTTATGCCACAACCCAGCTGTTAATGAAATTAAGTTACAAGACCAAACCAGGCCCTAACTGAATTTTATGTTGGAAACAGTATACTCAAAGATTAGATTTTCCCCTTTTCTTCCTATTACTTAAAATTTTTAAGTAGAACTCAATTAAAATTAAAAAAATTTTAGATTATGTAGCTTTTTTGCTGGGGGAAATAAAACCAGAATACATAGTAAATGAAGTCTTACTAATGATATTTCTATTGGCAGTTGAGGATATATATTCCATGTGGATTTACTTCAAATAATCACCCTCCCTCTTTTTCAAATAAACTTTAAGGAGATAGGTAGTTGAACTTGTAAAGTCTGATTTAACTTTTAGCCTTTCAGCAGATAACTGTTTTTAAATGATGCTAATCTTATACAAGTGACATTTTACAATGATTGAAGGGTTATTCCCTAAAAAGGGGAGACTCTTAGTGTATTTTGTTATAAAATATCTCATAATTATGAATGTTTCTCCTCACCATCCCTTCCTTTCCCAGGACACCCCTGCCCAAAACTTAAAAGAAAACAGAACACCCTTCATCCCTATATAGTATAAAAACAATAGACTTCACATATAAATGATTGAAGCAACAGTTACAATATGATTTATTTTACCATAAATAGATGGAGAAAAATCTACTGTTATATAATAAACTATCCCAAAATTTTAGTGACTTGATCAAATGTTTTATTTTGCTCTCTTATTGATGAGTCAGAAATTCAGGATGGGCTCTTGGGTAGTTTGTCCCATGACAGCTGGAGGTGTCTACAGTTGGATGACCCACTGCCAAGATGATTTCATTTGTATATGTTCTCTCTAGTTGCTCCTTGGCATCTGGCTACATACTATCTTTTGCCATAGGGCCTCTGCACATGTCTTGGGTATCTCACAGCCCAGTGAAAGTAGTCACGGTCTTATGTGGCTTCTGACTTCCAGTCATAGATGTTAGGAGCTGAAGTTGGGCCAGTTAAAGCGTTATGCTAGGAATTGGCTTGGAAGGGCAGGGGTTCCTTCTTTCATATTCTATTGGTGATAGTAATTATACAACTTACCATGATTCAAGAAGTCAAGAAATAGACTCCAGGGGCCTCCCTGGTGGTGCAGCGGTTGAGCGCTGGGTTGCAAAGCTGCCCGCAGACTCTGCAGTGCCGGTTCAATCCCCGGCTGCTCCC